GGTAAAAGCACATGCCCATTTGTGGGCTCGATCCCCAGTAGGAGTTGTGCAGAAGGCAGTCAATCAATGATTCTATCTCATCATTGATGTTTCTCTCTCTCTCCCTTTCCCTTCCTCTCTGAAATCAATAAAAATATATTTTTTTAAAAAGAAAAAGCTCTATAAGCCTTATTATTTGCATTATACAAATGCTGCCAAAGACATTTTTTTTTCATTACCTCTACAATGAGCTCTTACTAAAATCCTCCAGGAGAAATCCCAGCCTGGACTAAGGACTAAAATTGGTAGCACTTGTCCTGAGTATTGAAAGTTGAAGGCGAATATAGATTTACTGTTTAGAGTTAGTGAAACAGGCCAGGAATGCATCCCTGCATTATTCCAAAATGTTTATCGAGCACCTACTATGTGCCAGACTCTCTACCAGGATCTATAAATGCAATGATGCACAAGATAGGAAATATGTGTTCACAAACCTAGAGACTAGTGGAAAGGAACAGATTATTAAACAAGAATCATAATACAGAGCAATAACACAGAATGAGCCAGAAATTAGTGCTGGGTAACTAGATAAGAGCTATCACCCTCCTTAGGTGGACATGGAAAATAAAGCAAAGTTTGGATGAAGAGAAGAATAGGAAGACCCTAAAAGGAAAATACTCATTTCTGGGCAATTAGGAGAAAAAAGACACAAGTCAGGAAAAGAGTAGAAATAGGTGGATGGAGAAAGATAACAAGAACCTAAGACAGCCTAAGTATCTCCTACCATGACCAGAACTGCTCTATTTACTAGTATATAGCTTATCTACACTAATAAAAGAGAAATATGCAAACTGACCATACCTTCGGACCGCCCACCAGCCAATCAGGAGTATGCAAATTAACCAAACAAAGCTGGAGGGTTAATTTGCATATGCAGGCACTGAGCAGCCAAGGGCAGGGTGGGACGCTTGCATCGTCACCATGGTGATGATGCAGGTGTTCTGCACCACCCCAGCTGCTCTGGGCCTCTGGGCAGTGTGGGAAGGCAGAAAGGTGGCTCTGGGCTGGAGCAAAGGCGGTGCCAGCAGCCAGGGGAAGGAAGGCCCATTCTTGCATGAATCTTTGTGTATCGGGCCTCTAGTGTCAGTATAATAGTCTATATAAGTAGAATTATATTGTGCAGAGTGCTCATAACTATATATAAGTCATTTCATAGACTCTTAAAGAAATTGGTCTGATTTTATAACTCCAAATAACTAAATCAGAGAAGGTATCAAAGAAAGAACAAAGAAATATCTGGTCCTGAATGAGATATAATCTTAATTAATCACACTGAATGACATATCAATATAACCTTGTTGGTTGTGAGAGGGCCAGACTATATTGAGATTATAAACTCTTCCTTCAAAGTGAATGCAACTGCCTTCTTTATCCCTAAAAATACTAGCTATTCAGAGCAGAGAATTAAATATGTAAGTGGAATCTTGGTATCAAAAAGTTTAACCAGGCTGTCAAGAGACCTGGGTTTTAGTCCTAGTCAGTCACATAAAGAAATTATATGTGAAGCTTAAAAGCTATGTAACTCAATGAACTTGGTACTTTATGTGCTTATTGCAGTAAGAGAAATAGCCAATATTTATTGAAGATTTACTGTGTGACAAGCACTGGTTCCATGCATTTTTTATGTATTAACTAATAACCTCATGAGGTAGGTATTATTGTCATTTACACCTGAGGAAACTGAGGCACGCAGAGATACTGTAACATTTCCAGGTCACCTGGATGGCAAAGGCAAATGCAAGTGGTCCAGCTCCAGGGCCCAAGCTCCTACCCACTCCTTTATTCTCCCAACTTCCATCCAAAAGCATCCCAAGGAAGCTCAGAGGACCTATCAGAGCACTGTGCCTTAGGATGTATTCCAGAGTTCAAGCTTCTCAGGATCCTATCTACACTAATAAAAGTCAAATATGCAAATTGACCATACCTTTGCTACACCTTAAGCCATGCCCACCAGCCAATCAGAGTGACTATATGCAAATTAACCCAACTAAGATAGCGGCTGGCAGCCACGGAGCTGGAGCGAACAGGAGGCTTGGTTGCCCCAATGATGGAGGAAGCCAAGCTTCCCACCTGCCGCGGTGGCCGGCTCTGAGCTCCACTCAAAGCAACAAAGTTTCAATTATAGAAGGTAAATAAACCCCAGATACCTGCTTTCAGCCGGCAGTGGCCATGGAGCTGGAGCAAGCAGGAGCCTTGGGTTGCCCCTGGTGATGGAGGAAGCCAAGCTTCCCTCCTGCCTGCCCTGGCCAGCTTTGAGCTCCTCTCGGGGCTACAAAGTTTCAATTATAGAAGGTAAATAAATCCCAGAAAGAAAAAAAAAGAAAAGAAAAAAAGGAGAGGCTGGGAGCTCAGGTTGCGGGGGGGCATGGCCAGCCTGAAAACAGCCATCAGCCCCTCACCCAGGCTAGCCAGGCACCCCAATGGGGACCCCCAGCCTGAAGAGGGGGGGACCAGCCTGAAA